TGTGAGGAAGAATTTCTTTGCTGAAAGGGTTCTGAGGCATTGGAAGGGGTTCCCAGGGCAGTGGTGGAGTCCCCATCCCTGGAGGGATTGAAGAGTCGTGTAGACATAGTGCTGAAGGGTGCTGACAGGGTGGTGTTGGTTGATGGTTGGACTTGATGAACTTAAAGGCCTTTTCCAACCTTAATGTTTCTATGAAACCACCACCTAAACCACAACTGTGAAGAGCTGTCTAACAGCAAACTAAAATGATTGAGCTGCAAACCCCTCTGGCTCTGAACAGATCATGTTTCTGCAGTCGCTCAGCGATGCTGGGTCTTCACCAGGAGAGAACAGTTTGTCTAGGAGCTTTCTGGAGCACACTCTTCTGCCAAGGACAGCAGGAACAAGTGGGTTTGTGTTCCTTTGATGGTTACTGATTCATCAGGGAGATAATAGTTATGGCTACAGGGACAGATGGGAAACAGCGAGGCACGTACTAAAATCCTCTTCCTCAGGAGCTTCTAATAACAACGAGGCAAAGATCTGTCTTTGGTCAGGGTCTTCCAGCCAGCCCCACCCTCCCAAGGAGGGTCAGCATCCTCCTGCTCCCCCTCCCCTTGGTTCTAGCTGTCACACCTTGTCGTGTTGGGGTATCGCCCCTTCAAACAGCGACTCATGAGGATGGTACTGCATTGGAAGGCTAAAGCTACAGCACATTCCTCTTAACATCCAATCAAAGTGGAAAAGTAAGTTTTTCCCCAGGTTTTATTTACTAAATCGTTTCACATTCAATGAAATAGTTACAACAATACTTACAGAGCATTATCACAAGAGCAAACACACTGAGAACGCTGGTCGAGACCAAGAACGCGGGTTACGCTTATTTTCCTGTTGAACTCAAATGCCACTTTTGTAAACAGTAACTAAAAAAGATGGACACATAAAAACACTCTATGGACACAAAACTACATCGACCATTTTACACCCCCAACCAAAGCACTCTGGTTAAGTCCGAGTACAGTTTGGTATTCTCTGTACAATTATTAAATCCCGCTAAAAACGACAGTTATCCTTGGGTTTAATATACAGCACAGCGCATAAGGCAAAAAAATAGGAATTATCATCCAGTTCTTTGCTTTTCAGTTAAATATCAAGAATTTAAGGCAAGTTTGGACATTTTGCATTGTTTCATATAGTGAATGGGGGACTTACAGATGGCAAATTCACAAAAGGAACACGCTAGCTCCCAGAAACAGTGAACTGTAATGCGCACGGACACGTGTGTCCCTCTGGAAATCCCAGTGAGAATTTCTAGAAGAAAAGCATTCCTAGCAGGAGAGACTGTCAAGAAGATGAATACCTTAAAAACAAACCCAAAACAAACCCAAAAACACAGAAATTGAGGAACTGTATGTACACATATAAACTGAAACCCACTTTAAAGTGCTTTACAGATAACTTTGAGTGATTCAGAACTAGAACTGGATGATAATTGGCAGTTGTATGACATCTTATTTGAAGGTCGTTAATTTTTAAACTGTAAGACAGACATTAAGATGAGAATATCGTTCTTTAAATGCAGATTTAAACTTGCCTGTTGTATCTGATCTTCTTACAACCAAGCACTTCAGCGAAGAGGACAAGCAGCACCCGGAACAGAAAATGAAGAGGGCGTGATTTGACGTGACACGAGCCCTAGGGTGATGCACTGTTCGATCCATTTCTAGCCAAACACTTAATCTAATAACAGCAGGATATTTAATCAGGTATTTTTCCCATTCTTCAGACCAAGCCTGCATACTAAAAAATCGTTTATGCTGCTACCTTTAAATTTAGCAATGCCACATTACACCATACGGGGCCAATCTCTATGACCTAATCCGACTGCCTGGGTAAGGAGAGTGAAACACTTTGCAACGTGAAGTGCTTTCACTTCCATAAATGAAAGATGTTGATATAAATATGGAATAACCACCAACACCACCCTGACCTCCTGATTTTCCCTTCTGATGAAGTCAAAATGATTTCTGAGCCTTGCACCACTTTCTACTAACCAAAAACAGCGTTGGCTGATGCTTCCCATTGGGACATGTACGTGAGCATCTTCATTTATGGAATTTTATTGCAGTCAGACTCCAGAAGGTACAACAGACATTGAACTGTGATGAAAGCCACCTATCAACAAAAGGGATAAACTTCTCTCTTAGGTAAGGAATTTTTCTTAATTTAATATGAATTTGTTAAGCGTCTTTCTCTCCGGTGTGTACTGGAAAATCTGATAACCCATGAAACAGCCTGATAAATAGAACAGCACATGGAAACATCCAGCTGGTGCATTGATCAGAACAGAACGAGCAGGCAATCCAGACAACAGCCTGAAACACCTCCCTTAATCCCTGAAACACCCCCAAACCTGCTCCCCTTCCTTCTCCTCCCCACACGCAGACAGGCAACACACAGCCACGTAGCTACTTGTGTCCTACCAACAGAGTCACTGGAATAATTAAATCATTATTGCTATATAACTAGAATCCTTGGTGGGTCAAATAAACTGCATTGAAAACGCTGAAATTGTTAACTTTATTTGCTTTTAAAGTCCTGCTTAATTCTGAATGTGAAGAATATCTGCAGGACTTTAGAACCTGTGCAAAAACCTGTTATCTATGAATGATGTTGTATGGTGGAAACACCCTGGTCTCCTTGAATGCTGAAAATCTGAACGCTAGCATGTGGAAGAACAAGGAACAGCACTGCTTGTCTGGCTACAACTCGCTTTGCAGGAACTCAGAATAAATCAGGTACACTCCAAACCCTTCACTTAGCCTATGTATAAAGAAATGGCTTTTAAAGCAACTATTTCAAATATTATTGCACCTTCAAAAATAATACTATATGGGCTTGAAAAACAAGGGGAAACAAACGTTAATTTAACATGTTAAAACAAGGGGAAAATCACTCTGGAGGCAGAAAAACTCTTCAGTACCAGGCCAGGCAATGCACACACAGACATCAAAACAGAAACTCAAAATAACCATGATTCCTACTTAAAATCAGAAGACAAACCAAAACCTTCTAAGTTACCTAAAATTCATATTTATTCAGCCATCTATTTTAAATAAGGCTTATAATCCACAGCATCACTCTCTATTTACCTGCCCAAATGTTCACTAAGTTTAGGGTTAACTCTTGAGACTCTGGTGAGTCACTGGAACCGACCTTCAGGTTTGTGTTAAGCAGGAGACGTGCTCAGGATGAGCGACTACGTCCCACGCTTTGCATTCCTCCAGCCCGTGTTAAAGGCAAGACTGTCTAAGGAACCCGAGATGGGACCTCACTGTTTGCTCCCTCTTTGTGCATTTGTGAGAACAGCAACAATAAACCTAGATCTTCTGGAGAAAAAAAAAAAAGTGAAAAAAGGAGAGCTCATCCAACACACTGTGTTATTCTTGACAGTTTCCACAGGCACAAATGTATCAAGCAAGTGAGAAACAAAACCACCAGGACAACCAGAACAACCATGCTTTATGCTAAAATCAGTAACAGCCTTACCCTTAAGTCCTACAGTTAGCACCATTTTAAAACCTGAACACTCTGAGAAAGCAATTGTACATTCTTTTAAAAAAGGAAGTTACGTGGAATACGGACACAAGCGCGTTTGGGAGGAGGATGGGACGGGTTCATTTGTGAGTATTTATTTTATATCATGCTACGAAAGCTGCTGTGGCATCGTCCAATGTGTTACTCTTGTAATTTTTCCTTGCACTATGATTGAAAATGCACAGCAGACTAGCAAGATTAAGTCATTGAATCTAGCACTCATTTACCTGCAAAAAGAAAATACAAGGGAAGTTAAAAATGTAGTTTCTCTTCAGAGGATCAAAAAAACTCTGTTAAGAGGCAATAAATTTGCCTTGTAAATTTCTTTAGTTGCTAATTACCAACCCAGCCCTCCTACCAGTATGTGGGTAACAAAGGAGAGTGTACAGGCAACATCCTATGGCATTGATTATTTACAAACCTTGAGATACAGAAACAAGGCAGCCCTTTAGTTACTGTTCATTAAAAAAACCCAAAATAATAAATTCTGAAGCACTGGCATTTTCTTAATGTGAAGACACAACCAGACCACTATCAGCAAACTGTCCAGTCACACAACACACTCACACCTCTCTCACCCCAAGCACAGTAAACTTCATGTTTCATAGTAGGCAGCAGGAAGAGAGAGAAGCTCTAGAAAGTGAAAGGGTTGGATATACAGCAAATTTTCTAACCACACCCCAGGCATGTACAGTACTCTCTAAAACTCACTGCCCTGAACCGGGTGCTGTCTAAACCCCGCTGGCAACAACCTTCCTGTGCCTTCTGCCCGTGTCACTCCAGTAACAAAGGCCAATTCCTGGAGGAAAAGAAAACAAATCTTTCCTCATTTCAATCCCAGCTTCACCACATTCCTCCCACTTTTCCAACTGGAGAAAATGCAGCTTGCTGTCTCCCCCAGCAGGGTTTTTATTCAAGCAGATGAAGCTCCATCTTTGCACCAGGCCTGTAAAGTCTTGTTTTTCATCAAAGTGCAGTCAAACCAAAATTGCATCGACAGTACATCATCCCAGCAGAGTCCAGCCAGGTATCGGAGATGGGGTCGTACTTCTGTACAGTGTTCAGGTAGGATGACCCTGAATGACCTCCAACCACATAAAGGTAGTTATCAATCACAGCTGCACCAACCCCTATGGGAAAGGGGAAGAAAAGGTTAAATCATCACCACGTGTGGATGTAGGAAGTAGGACACCCTCCTCTCTCCAGCCTGAGGGCTGCACAGACAAGTTCTCACAGCCCCTCCTTCTCTGGCCCATCATAAAGAAAATGGGTGTAAATGAAGAATCTCTCTCTGTTCACATCTTACACTCCATTTTTTCCTCTTCTCATGCCCTTTCCTATGACACAGCTCTGCTCTTCTGTCCCAACACTCCTCGTCACGGAGACAGGAGAGAGGAGGTACTGCTGAGTCTCAACATAAAATAAAGTACAACAGAACAGTAACCACAGAATTGCTGAAACTCGCTGAAAATTAATGAAAAACTAGAAAGTAGAGTAGAAATATTACTTCATACAGCTCAGTATTAATGAACTGGACTGTAATTAAAACTAGAGAAATAACTATTGATTCTTCCACAGAGCTGAGAGAGTGATCATTCACAGATGGAGTGCAATGCTCTGCAGACAAGCCACTGCCACTTTACTGCAGCTTCTATCGGGTCAAGTGGCACTTTATTTGTGGAAGAGTATCCCAGAGTTTTCCATATCCCTACCTGTTCTGGGTTCCTTCATGGGTCGACACACAGTCCACTGATTTTGGTGAGGATCGTATCTCTCGATGCTCGACAAGTGAGACACACCATTGTGTCCCCCCACCACGAAAATGAAGCCCAGCATGACACCCACACCAAAGTTTATCCGCTTATCGGCCATCGAAGCCACCGTCTCCCAGGAGTTCTTACTCGGATCGTAGCGCTCCATGCTGCAAAGGCAAACAAACAGCTTGTGAGGCTGGGACCTCAGTGACATCTGAATTGCACTCCACAAGAAATCCACCTTTGTCAGAAGCAAATCGAGTTCTGCCAACCAATATCACCACACACAGGAATAATGCAACACAAAACTGGGGGAGGGTTTAGAGGGGAAGGGTGTGAGGAGAGGCTGAAGGCACTTGGTTTGTTCAGCCTGGAGAAGAGGAGACTGAGAGGAGATCTCCTGGGGGTCTAGAACTTCCTCCCAAGGGGCAGAGGAGGGGCAGGCACTGATCTCTTCTCTCTGGCCACCAACAAATGCCAGGAGCAGAGGACATGGCAGGAAGATGTGGCAGGGGAGGGTGAGGTTGGCCATGAGGAAAAGGTTCTTGAGGCAGAGGGTGGTGGAGCACTGGAACAGGCTCCCCAGGGAGGTGCTGATGGCACCAAGCCTGACAAGATTCCAGCAGCATTTGGCCAAGGCCCTCAGGGACATGGTGTGAATGTTGGGATTGTCCTGTGCAGGGACACGAGTTGGACTCATGACCCCTGTGGGTCCCTTCCAGCTCACAGCATTCAATGATTCCATGACAGAGTGCATGAGCTGATGGGAAATTCTGTGGCGTGGTTGCTTTGTACGACCCAGTGGTACCACACAAGAAACTAAAACCAGTGTTATCACCTCAGAAGCATCAGTCACATCCCAGTGTCCTGTGACAACATAAAGCTGGTGTAACTGGAGGTTCTCAGACTGTTGCCAAAAAGCAGTTTTAAGGTATTTCACCCTGACACAGCAGCTGCAGTTCAGCTGCTTCTCTGACGTCCTCGTGCCACTACCCTGGATCTTCAGGTTACGTATTGAAACAAAGCAAGGTTTTTCAAAGCTGGTTTCAGCAGGGAAAGCTCTTCCAAGGATCATGGCTGCTATTTATAAAAAAGCAAGTCATGAAGAACTGAACACAGTGCAGATCTGAAGCGTATCTATTTGGGTAACAAAAACTTCCTCAAGGCTTGCCTGAAAATAACAGACAGAGAGAGAAAAAGAAATGTGGAGAGCACATCCCTCAGGAAAAGCAGGAAAGAGGTTGCTGATCAAACCCTAAGGATAGAAGAGGCCTTCGGGATAAAATGGAAATGAATTATCATCATCATTATTATATTTTTAATCACTGGAGCTGTACAGATGGTCAGAACTATTAACACACTCATGGTGTGTAGCTGTTCCCTGTCCAAACTGCAGCTTCAGTAGCATGAGGGGACAGAAAAGAGAGGAAGAGAAAAATCAGAAGCACTGCAGAGTTGGAAAAAAAGGTTCTTAATTACCCAGCAGTCGGCCTTCTTTAATGCTGGTGTTTGTGTGAGTCGAGTGACTGCATGGCATGGCATGTTACTCACACCCTTGAATAATTAATACAACCAAAATTACTCAATAAAAAGCAAATTAAATTTAAAAAGGCAAATCATGAAATATCATATCCTGGTAACTCCACAGGAGCTGCTGGTGATTCCTTCCTGACTGAGGAAGGGAGAAGTGGCTGTTGCAGAGCGTGGCTACAGCAGAACTGTGACGTTGTTCAGAGCTTTCCCCTGAAAGGCACCAGCCTGACAAAGACATTTCCTGAAAGGCCCCGAGTGACCACACAGGAGGAGAGCACAGCTTCATCATTCCAGGTCAGATTCCCACCGGAAAAAACTCCAGAGTCAACAGAAAACTTTTAGAGATGGCTTGCTTGCCTATTAAATATTTAAACCCACTGTTACAACTCATAATTTCAAATGTAAAAAATGAGAATAATTTCACATTAAGTTTCATAAAAAAACCTAACAGTTTAAGTTATTGGTTTGTATTTCAATAATTAAAAAAATTGTGGCATTTCCCCAGGTGAAAACCAGTTAGCTATACTCTCCTATCTGGAAATCAATCCTTTGCTTCACAAAGTGTTCTACATGAAAATGTATCAAGTATAAAAAGTACAATTAATGACTAGGTCAGACAGTGTCCCAGGTTGTCCAGAGAAGTTGTGGCTGCTCCTCCCTGGAAGTGTCCACGGCCAGGTTGGATGAGGCTTTGAGCAACCTGGTCTAGTGGAAGGTGTCCCTGCTGCTGGCAGGGGGGTTGGAACTGGATGAGTTTTAAGGTCCCTTCCAACCCAAACCAGTCTGGGATTCTCTGATTGTGGTACTTCACTGTTAAACAATCAGTGGATCCCTTCCTACAAGCAAGACTTCCATTTTCAGTCTTTATTCAGCTATTTAGACTTGCAGTTTATTCATGTGCTTCCTGAAGGGACATACAGCTGATTTGTTCCTATTTTAATGAAGAAAAGTGAGTACAAATTATTTCTCTGCATAACTAAACATCCCTGTCCATCCACACAGAGCATGCTGGTACCAGAAAACCTCCTTGTGAAGGTAAGGTCTGAAGCAAGCCCACTTCAACCCAACACCCATCATCCCGAACTTCATTATTAAGGCTAAATTCAGATTCCAGCTGAGGTATCTTATTTATTTTGTGTCTATTCAGTATGTAAAAAATCCTCCTCATTTCAAACCAGTGTTTTAAACGTTAAGCTAACCACACATCCTCATACTGTGCAGGCCTGAGCTAGAAGGATTCACACAGCACCAACATAGAGCTGAGCAAGCTGCTCCCAAGGGCTCGGTCACGGAGGTGCAGCACCGAGACACAGACACACATACACTCCCTTCCTGATCTGCTGAGTTAACCAGCTCGGGTGCCTACAAGGTCAGGTGTTTTGCACCACCTTGCTTAGTGATACACAGATATGTCTTTGTGTTTACCATTTTCCCTTCTTAAGCATTAAAAAAACCCCCAAACCAACCAAACAAACCCCAAACAAATGAGGTCTGAGCTGGAAGATGTAAAGCTAAGTTAAAATAAAGATTTCCCAGATGATTTATCAGGCTGATACCACAGAACAAGGATTAATGAGGCCCATTGTGGATTACCAGGATATCTGTGCTGGAGAAAAACAAACAAACAATTTGCTGAAGCGTGTCCAGAGAAGGGCAACGGAGCTGGGGAAGGGTCTGGAGCACAAGTGTGCTGAGTTCCTGGCTGAGGGAACTGGGGGTGTTGAGCCTGGAGAAAAGGAGGCTGAGGGAAGACCTTCTGGCTCTGTCCAAGTCCCTTGGAGGAGGGTGGAGAGAGGTGGGGGGGGGTCTGTTCAACCAAGGAACAAGGGACAGGACAAGAGGAAATGGGCTCCAGTTGTGGCCAGGGCAGTTGAGATGGGATGTGAGGAAGAATTTCTTTGCTGAAAGGGTTCTGAGGCATTGGAAGGGGTTGCCCAGGGCAGTGGTGGAGTCCCCATCCCTGGAGGCGTTCAAAAAACGTGTAGCCATGACACTTCAGGACATGGTTTAGAGGCCTTGGTGGTGCTGGGTTGATGGTTGGACTTGATGATCTTAAAGGTCTTTTCTAACCTTAAAGATTCCACGATTATATGACCTTAGAACAATTATTAATTGGCTGCCAAGCAGAAGCTCAACAGCAAGTTTTGCCGATTTCAAGCTTACGACACCAAGCCCCACCCATGCAAAGCACTCACCTGTTCATATGGGCAGGACCATAGCCACCGATGGCGTAGATCATCCCGTCCAGGACAGCTGCGGCAAAACAGCTTCTGGTTTTGTTCATTGGGGCCACCAGCTGCCATTCCTTCACCTTAGGGATGTATTTCTCCACAGTCCGTAGGTAAGACTGCCCATCGTAGCCACCCAGGGCGTAGAGCTCTCCTGCCAGCACCACCACCCCCAGAGTACTGCGGCTCTCAAACATCCTCTCAAGAGATGTCCAGGTGTTGGTGTCGGGGTCCCAGCACTCCACGGAACTCTCGTGCTTTCGGTAGCTGATGCCTTGGCACACGTGGGTTGCAATCCCTCCTACAACGTATATCTTCTGGTCGAGGACACATATTCCAAACTCATAGCGGGGAATGCTCAGAGGGGCCAGGCCGATCCAGGAGTCGTTCTGGGGAAAGTACATCTCAACGCTGAAACACAAAAACAGCAGATGATGTCAGCAAACCAAACTCTCTGCAGCTCTGTGAAGTGCAAATGAGCATCGGGGAGCACAGTCTGAAGATAAATTCTTATGTCCCATCTGAGGTTTGCTGTTTCTTCCAAGTGTAGGGCCAAACCAAATGCTGTTTGCTGTCCTGAAAACACAGGACCTGGCAGCGCGCAGCGAGGCAGCGACACGGCAAGTAGCCACGGCACCAAGTCACAGACCTGAAACACAGCTGGGGAGGGACTGTTCATAAGGGCAGGGAGTGACAGAACAAGGGGAAATGGGTTTAAGCTGAAAGAGGGGAGGTTTAGATTAGATATTAGGAAGAAGTTCTTCACTGTGAGGGTGGTGAGACAGTGTCCCAGGTTGGCCAGAGAAGCTGTGGCTGCTCCTCCCTGGAAGTGTTGAAGGCCAGGCTGGATGAGGCTTTGAGCAACCTGGTCTAGTGGAAGGTGTCCCTGCTGATGGCAGGGGGGTTGGAACTGGATGAGCTTTAAGGTCTCTTCCAACCCAAACCAGTCTGGGATTCTGTGATGGATTTTGAAAGCACAAACCAGGCAGAATACAGAGAAGTCAGGAGAGGATCGTGGATAACGCGAGGGAAGACAATGCAGCGTGGATGCCACGGCAGCTGTTGGAGGCTGTGACTGGGGTAAGCTAAAAATACAAACCAAAGGGATAAGAATTGTGAACTGGGGGAAAAAAAAAAAAGTCAGAACAGCCACAGAGATGGGAAAGGGAGAAAAGGAGAATTAGAGAGGGGGAAGCACATGTCTATATGTACACATAAAAACATACCTTTAGAAAGTGTAATTTGTAGTTTTATAAATACAGCTTTTACTTGCACTGTATAATTTAAACAAAATGTCAAAGTAGAACAAAGGAATCTGAAAAATCTGTTTTCCAAATACAGCTTATTTGCATTTTCTTTTAATTATACCTGGTGTTAAAACACACATGGTGGTTTCACTAAAAAACAGGACAATACGGTGGGTCCAGCCTGTCATGTAAAACTGTAGTCAAGCTGCCTAAGTAGTTAATAAATTACTGAAATGATTGAAAAGCATATCTAGTGCATGAGAAATATGATCTGTTCAAAACAGGCACAGGAAAAGGAAGCCACTGGAGAGCTGGCAGAGAGAAGCAGGGACTGTGCAAACGCCAGAGCGGCTCTTGAGAGCAGCAGCCTGGTTAGAAAGAGCAGTACTACAGATACTCCAGGTAATTCTGTTATCAGGAAACAGCAGCTCACTAAATGAAACACCTTCCTGTGAGTATGGATGAAAAGCAGAACGAAAAAAAGTGGAATTCAGGTTTCCTACTTCACAATTTTAATTGTAACAGGAATTGTTTGTTTAATCAGTCTGTGACTTTTTTTTTTGTACGCCAAGAGCAATTGTTTAAACTTAAGTATTAACTGAAACAACAGTTTAGGGAAGACTAATATGAGTAATAAATTAAGGAAAAACAAATTTTTATATGTATTAAAACATGGTTAAGAGTAGTAAAGAGCATTTCTGTTTAAAAAAAATCAAAATAATCTAAACTATGTTTGAATGTAGTATTTTTACTCACTGAAGAAACTGTGAGAGAAACAGAGCTGAAGGCTATCAGAGGATGACCTCACTCACTCAAACAGATTCTTTATATTAAGCACAAAACTCCCTTTATTTTTTAAAACTATAAACCCAACAATTGCCAGTCCCAACGTCTAGTTTATCATCAATCCCAATTAAGGAGGCTGAGGGGAGACCTTGTGGCTCTGTCCAAGTCCCTTGGAGGAGGGTGGAGAGAGGTGGGGGTGGGTCTGTTCAACCAAGGCCCAAGGGACAGGACAAGAGGAAATGGGCTCCAGTTGTGCCCAGGGCAGTTGAGATGGGATGTGAGGAAGAATTTCTTTGCTGAAAGGGTTCTGAGGCATTGGAAGGGGTTGCCCAGGGCAGTGGTGGAGTCCCCATCCCTGGAGGGATTGAAGAGTTGTGTAGACATAGTGCTGAGGGACATGGGTTAGTCATAGGGGACTGGTCAGTGTTGGGTTCATGGTTGGACTCGATGACCTTAAAGGGCTTTTCCAATCCAGGAAATTCTGGGACTGGGAAAATTATCTTTAAATAACTTCAACAACATCTCTAAACACAGGGAAAAAGAACACACAGATCTTCCCAGGTTCTGAAGCATCTGTATAGATATGCAAGCATGGAACTGTCACAGGAGAGAACATCACCCCTGAATGTGTCTGCAGAAGCAGCTGGGTTACTCTGCCTTACCAGGCACACCTGCTGAGCTGATCAGGGTGTGCTCAGCACCCCAGCACTGCACCTGGCTGTGTAAGTAGCTCCACACATGCAGAGCCACACACAGCTTCACTGCCACTGCTGGAAACGTCAACACAACATCAGAAGCAAACCCAGCAGCACCTGTGTGGGGAGCAAAGCTCATTTTCTCTCCATTGCATTGCTCTGCACAGATGATTCACCTCAGCAACGTGCTCCAGTAACTGGAGAGGAGGCTCATTTTGAAACCAGGTAAAGACAGAGAGGCTCTTACCTGCTCCTGCCAGCACAGCTACGGATTCCTACTCAGCAGCAGAGATTAAAGTCATGATTACACTACGATCAAGAACGTGACACTGCTAAGAATTACCTCTTCACTCTTCTCTGATTCAGTCTATTTAATTCCAAGGATTCCTGAGTTATCAGGAAGCATATTTGTCATGTATTAGATTAAATTTTATAATCTGATTGTCTGGAATAATAACAGATTAGGGAAAAGTTGTATAAAATGGAAAGGCCTGAGCTGACAAAGCAGCATGCTTTAGCACACAAAGTAGCATCCAGACTTTTATTAACCACTTTCATCAACCCAATTCTCAATTAACAGAATTAAAGCGATAAGATTTTAATAGCTACTTGTGTTGCTACAAACAAAACCCCGTAACACTGAAGATTACTCATGAAATCAAAAAGGATTTTGAATTCAGTGCTTGTCCTTGTTAAAAAAAAAAGACAAAACAAAACCAAAGCTGCTTAATAGTTCTTAGGGAGAAAAGCAGCAACCAGAGTCCTGCAAACCAGAGCTGGGGTGAGCTCTGACCCCGGGCAATCAAACAGCAGGAACATCACCCCGCTCAGGCCACCACAACAACTTCACCAGCACTCGATGATGCGAGGGCTGGAGCACCTCTCCTATGAAGACAGGCTGAGAGAGTTGGGGCTGTTCAGCCTGGAGAAGAGAAGGCTCCAGGGAGACCTTCTAGTGGCCCCCCAGTAACTGAAGGGGCTCCAGGAAGGCTGGGGAAGGACTTTTCCTAAGGGCAGTTAATGACAAAACAAGGGGAAATGGGTTTAAGCTGAAAGAGGGGAGGTTTAGATGAGATACTAGGAAGAAGTTCTTCACTGTGAGGGTGGTCAGACACTGGAACAGGTTGCCCAAGGAAGTTGTGGCTGCTCCTCCTTGGAAGTGTTGAAGGCCAGGCTGGATGAGGCTTTGAGCAACCTGGTCTAGTGGAAGGTGTCCCTGCTGATGGCAGGGGGGTTGGGACTGGATGAGCTTTAAGGTCCCTTCCAACCCAAACCAGTCTGGGATTCTATGACTCACCTTTCCAAACAGGCAAACAGCCCGGCTTTGCCTCCCACCGCACACAGAACTTTAGGGGCGCAGCGAGGGCGCGTCATCAGCATGGTCTGGTGAGAAAGTCTGTGCTCAGGCATGAAGTGGTACTTCAGAGCCTCGTTGAGGAGGTGTTTGCAGGTATGGTCGTCACGGATGAGGTGGTTCGCTTCGTATAGCCTGGTGAGGAACTTGACGCTGAGCAGCGGCAGGCGGACGCAGTGCAGGAGCTGCGCCAGGTACTTCTGCCGCTCCTGCACGTCGTACTTGATCCAGGACTCCAGGGCGTAGAACACGGCTTCCTCTGTCACCACGTTCAAGCAGTCGTTGGAAACGATTTCATCCAACTCGGAATGCGTGAGCTCAAAGAACTCTTCTGTCTGACAAACATCTTCAAAGTTCTGGCAGATGTACTTGTTGGCAGCCAAGTAGAGGTCGTGGCAGCCGTAGGTCTCGGCAAAGCGGGAAATGCCGATGCAGTTGCCGGGATCAAGCTGGCTTTCCAGGAACTCACAGCACTCCTTCACGATCAGCTTGATCTGGAGGAGATTGGCAGCTGGGAGAAGCGACTCGACGGTGTCTTGTGAGATGAACACGGTCCCCGTGTAGGCGTAGTCCACGATGGCCTGCAGGGCTGCCTCGTCCACGCACTGGAACTCCACCTCCGAGTTCCGATGCAGTTGCCGGGATCAAGCTGGCTTTCCAGGAACTCACAGCACTCCTTCACGATCAGCTTGATCTGGAGGAGATTGGCAGCTGGGAGAAGCGACTCGACGGTGTCTTGTGAGATGAACACGGTCCCCGTGTAGGCGTAGTCCACGATGGCCTGCAGGGCTGCCTCGTCCACGCACTGGAACTCCACCTCCGAGTTCTCCTTCTCGGAAAGGTTCCCGGTGAACATGGCTTTGAAGTAGGGGCTGATGCTGGCGAGCACGGCTTTGTGGGCGTGGATCTTGACATCGCCCACGCGGAGGATAATGTCACAGAGCTCGTGGTGCTGCCGGAGGAGGTTCAAGCCTTGCAGGAGCTGCTCGGAGTGCAGGTGGGTTAAGTTGGCAAGCGTGTAGGATGGAGACGACTGGTCCATCTGCCACAAACAGGATTTTACACACGTTACTCAGGGCTTCCTTGCAGCAGTTTAATTACTCATGTTACTAATTACTCATGTCACCCAGGCACGCCACATACAACGTTTAAAAATCACCTTTCCGTTTTTGCTTTTACCTTAATTAGGTTGATCACTTTCCAATTTGCTTTTTCAATCCGTACGGGCTATGCCTTTTTCATGCAAGGTAAACCCAGGACAATCAAAGGTTTATTAATAATCTGTGCTGTATTAATCTCTGACTTACAAAAAAAACCCAAACCAACAATTACCAACTTTTACTTTTTGGTTCTGGAGTGAAATGCACATTATCTGACGTGCTGAATACATGACAGGATTCTTCATCAGGTATTTGAGAGAGCTGAACAGTGACTGAAAAAATAAACACAGGTAAAGAAAAACCAGAATTGGCTTATTTGAGATGAAGCTTTAGAAGTTCTTGAACTCCTTCCTGCTCCTCGCCCTGCAGCCAAGCCCTGCTGCACTTCCCCTCCGAGCAGGGCGGCCAGCAGCACCCCACCAGCCAGCAGGGACCAGCTCTGCGCTCCCTCTCCTCGCTGGGAACTGCACAGTCCCTCCCTCTGCACAAAGAGGCAAAAAAGAGCCACAGAATCAGTGGGGCCCTGGGACGCAGGAAAAGAGAGTGCTGGAGCACGGGCTGCTGTGCTCTGAACGGGCAGAGGAACACAGGAGAACGGGGAGATCCTCACCTCAACTCACTGAGCCACTTCCACCGTGACAGAAAATCCCCAGTGGATGCGTCCTGGCTGTTGGGAGAGATCAGGCTGGAGGAAGAGGGGGAGCTGGGCCTTCCTCCACCATCAGGAGATGAGGGGTGGGAGCTGGTGAGGTGCTTCCCAGGGTGAGCAAGGGAGCAGGTCCCAAGTGGGCAGGTTGAGCATCCTGATATCTCTCAGCACTGCCATGTCCTGACAGCAGCAGCAGGCACCCGCGCTCCCAACACCACTAGTGAGGGCAGAGAGAACAACCCTGGCTCCTGCCCCAGCTCCACAGAACCCCCAAACCCTTCTGACAAGAAGCTTCAGTCTGGAGGCACGAGGACACCTCCTCTCATGTCACTAGCATTAAAACTCCAAGGCTGCTGCCCACCACTCCCTGTGGGAAAAGCAGCTCTGCGGCTCTTTACCCAGACTGAATTATCACACAGTGAGAGGGTGTGAACCTGGCAGGACCTTGGACAACAAGGAAATGTACCTGTTATCCTACAGAGAACACTGCAGCCATCCCATTCCTGAGAGGAACAGCCGATTTCATCCCCATCTGCTAAACCACTACGCAGACTCCAACACCTCGCTTCTCCTCATCTCGTTATTAACACGTCAGTAATTTCTGCAGCTCCTTCACTGCCACCTAATTGGCAGTGAGCCCACTACACAGTGCTGCACCTGAGAGAATCAAACTAGCTGTCAGCACTTACACACAGAACACGACAGCACTGACACAGAAGGGAAGGCTTGTGGCCAGGGATGGAAAACCTCTCACCCATTAACAGATAATAAGCTCAGCCCTCTCCTGTTACACCCTACACTGGAAAAAAGGAAAAAAATCTAAAATAAAGTACTTTGAGCATTTCTGCAAAAGGCAAGATTCTCTACACCAACATGTTCCATGTAATGATATTTTTTCAGTGCAAATTATATGGGGGGGGAAAACCCAAAAAACCAAAGACGTGTTCAGCAGCTGAAACTCTTTCTTTTGTGTCTCTGCTCGGATCACAACTTGATTGCACACACACACAGAAACCCTAAAACACGAGGTCACAGCGTGTGGAAGGAAAAGGGACAGCTACAGCTCGGATGTGAAACCTGTAAAACAGTTCTGAACAGCCACATTTCAGTTAATCCACAGAAACAAAACCCTGTGTCCCTGCGTGGTGCAGAGCCCTGCTGTGGTACCTCACACCCCTCCTGCATGGCCACACCACACACCTGCAGGTGTTCACTGCATTGCATTGGTGAGAAACAAACGAGAGGCTGGATCACTGACCAGCCCTGCACAGCACGTGCCAGGCCAAGAACACAACACAAATCACAGAACCCCAGACTGGTTTGGGTTGGAAGGGCCCTGAAAGCTCATCCAGTCCCAACCCCCCTGCCAGCAGCAGGGACCCCTTCCACTAGACCAGGTTGCTCAAAGCCTCATCCAACCTGGCCTTAAACACCTCCAGGGAGGAGCAGCCACAGCTTCTCTGGCCAACCTGGGACACTGTCTCACCACCCTCACACCAAACAATTTCTTCCTCACATCTCATCTCCATCTCCCCTCTTTCAGCAGGGTCAAATCCAACGGCTGCCCCTCGGCTCTGGGCTCTCAGATCCTTTTGGTGCTCTGCAGGTAAAACTTATTTTGAACAGCAGGGAGAGTTACTGGCAATAAAGGGTTAATGAGCAGTGCAGTACCTGTGCTCTCACTGCGGGTGCTCACCGCTGTAACCCCGGGCAGGTGAGATGGGCAGGGGGTGATGCTGGCACAGTGTCCCCTGCCCGTGCCAGGAGCAGGAGCTGCAGGCACTCTGCTGTCCCACGGCAGCGTTTCAGTGCTCGACAGTTCCTCACTCAGACCATGAATGGTGGCAGCCAGGGAGCAGCCGGGCTGGTTGGGCTCCTCACCAGGGAGCAGAGAACCCCAGCGGCGCCCGCCCGAAGCTCCGAGCTGGCTGTGGTTCCAAACACCCAACACATCACAAAAACCCCCCAAGTTCTGCTTCTGCACACCAAAAAAGTGCAAGAAATAATATTTACCCAGGAACCGCCTGGCTTATGACATGTTATGCTTCCCACACTGCTGCACTTCTCCCTTGTCACAGAGTCACAGAACGGTGGGGCTGGAAGGGACCTCAGGAGATCAT